ATTGATTTATTTTTCAAAACCGAGATGGGAGAACCCAACTATTTGGTGACTCAGAATTCAGGTTACCTTGAGGAAACCAGACAATCTAAAACATTTAAGGTTAATATTTCTCTTCTTCCTGACAGTATTGTGGCATCAGCGACTGCATACAACCCACCAATCAGAGGCAGACTTTTAGCAGAGTTATCAACATATACCCAGACCAGTACAACTACGTCCATACATACAACATCAGCCACAACATCATCACCAACAGTTACAACAAGTTCTAATGTGTCTAATGGCACAATGAGAAATAGAATTCCAATTAGACAGTTAGCTCCTGTCCGAGGTATGTATATTATGCACATTAATTCATGAGAGTGTGGATGGATATAGCAGATCTAACAGTAAATATGATATAATTTGCTGTTAAATCCACAGAGAAATGTTTGTACACACAGTCTGTTGCAGAATTCCAGGGTATTAGAGTGTCAAGATCAAATTTAGAATGAACTTTAGAAAACCAATAGCCATATCCACGGTTGTCCACTGCTATGGTGGAAAGGGAGCCTGTCTAATACATCATACATATTTTAATATACATTGAGTGTTTATTTCAGTGAAATCTTTTGATACAGAAACAAGGGCGTCACTAGAGCGACGGAAAAGAGTTATGCAACAACAGCAACATTACCAACATCAACCGCAGCGGTCCTTGTCAACGTCAAGTCTTGCATCAACGACTAGTACCATTTCAACTTCATCTTCATCACTTGGTAACTATGGCAACACCAGTAATCTAGGCAACAGCTTGCCAGTGACACTTTCTATGACAACAGCTCCTACTGAAATACCATGCCGACTATCAAAGCAGCGTTCGTTCTGATAGCTCTGCCACTGAAGATGAAAAACTGTTTAGTAGAGTTGTAAGTATAATTGTTTACCTTCCTGTACCTCTACCTGATTCCCTGACTTTGAGATTGCTCAGAGATATCATAGATTGGCTGTAGTCAGTGTATATAGATAGATAGATAGACTGTAGTCAGTGTATATGGATAGGCTGTTGTCAGTGTATATAGATAGGCTGTAGTCAGTGTGTATAGATAGATAGATAGACTGTAGTCAGTGTATATGGATAGGCTGTTGTCAGTGTATATAGATAGGCTGTAGTCAGTGTATATGGATAGGCTGTTGTCAGTGTATATAGATAGGCTGTAGTCAGTGTATATAGATAGGCTGTAGTCAGTGTATATAGATAGGCTGTAGTCAGTGTATATAGATAGATAGATAGACTGTAGTCAGTGTATATGGATAGGCTGTTGTCAGTGTATATAGATAGACTGTAGTCAGTGTATATGGATAGGCTGTTGTCAGTGTATATAGATA